CCTCGGAAAGATGGAAGACTGAATCAACCTTGAACCGCTCAGAACTGAACGCCTGGAGTGAATAGTGAGTTAGCCCTGCAGTATTGCATTCTAAGCACTGCGCCACTACGCTTCTTAATTTTTAAGAATAATTTTAAGAATTTAAGAATTTAATATTAAAAGAATAAAAGCAATGTTTATTATTCTTTTGTGCTTGGGGAGAAAGTTAGCATGTCGGCATTTTCTTTTCGTTGAAGTAATTTTCTAAAAGACAGAACTAATAAATAAGCCAGATGGAATTCAGCAGAAAAGGCATCCCAGAGTACAACATGAAGGAGCGTGCTTAGGATCTCTTCTACTTGATGAATCACAGAGGGCAGGGTCACATAAAGCAGGCTGCCCAGGTCCGATGATTGTAATTGTAATGCACGACAAAGAATATTTACAGCAGAGATCTACTATATATTATATTATTATTGCATTTCATTTGCTTGTTTATTTATTTCGTAGCATTAATAGACCCTACCCCCAGCCCAAATCTTGCCAGCTCCAAACAAACCCAAAAACAAATAGCAAACACAATACAATAAAACATTACAAATAAACCAGAAGCATAAAATAGCTGAGCAAATCCAATCTCCTCAGCAGTGCAGATGGGAAGGCCCACATTTCTCAACTCTCTTATTAAAACTTTGCAGAGCAAGTTTTCACAGAATATGGTGTCCTTTGCGAAGGTACATTTTGTACAATGTCTCAATCTCAGGGAGTTGCTGTCTTTCCCAAAAGTAGAAGAAAAGTTCATTGTAGGTTGTATCCACTGGAATCCAGAGATTTCAGTTTAGTTCTCACCAGTGTTTTTGGCTCATCAAAGTCCTGTTTCTAGTGGACAATGTTTCTGTATCCATAATAACACATGTGTGACCCATGCTTTCTAACCATGCATGAACACACACACAATCCTATGATGGAAAATGAACTTTTATAGGCCCAGGAAAACAGAGGTCTTTATTCTGTCAAGTAAATACATCTGTTTCTTCGCATACAGAAGAACACTCATGATAGCAAGATTCAGTGTTCCTACTCTTGATGCTAGTGAAGGAATCTTTCTTACACGGAACATTTCTATATTTGCTCAGAGGCTGCCATAAAGTCCATTACTTATCTTGTTTCCTCTATTGTACTTACCACTTGTTGTGCTAATTGGTCAGAAATTGAAGTTGTCCATTTATAAGTTTCAGACTCTTAAAAGGAGATGTGGAGAAAGGTAGCAAAGTTTTGTTTAATTGGTATTTCATTATGAGATTATTTGAAGACCATAATCCAAGACAATTAAAAGTAACCAATTCCATTTGTTATTTATTGTTATTGTATATTGCAATGCTATGTTTCGTAGAGGCTGGCTACAAATTAGTAAAATAAATAAGCTGGAAATAAAAATGGATGGTCTATGATTTTAGCTTCACTGGACACTCGGTAGGAACATTTAGTGACTATACCATTTCTCCTGCTCTCCCAAAATCATGGCTACCCACTTGACAAAGATGTGTTGAGAAAAGATTGTGTAGGCTGTTTAGATTTTTAAAAGTTTTTTTATTCCTACTCTTTAACATCTTCTAACATGACTCAAAATTGACAGAGTGCTTAGCAAATTAACATGGTAGGGCAATGTAAATTAGTTTTAGCACTTCTCACATGAGAGCTGAGGAAGCTTTTTGGATGAGAAGCAAAACCTCTTCAAAGAAAAACAAAAAAGTCTAGTTGTCTCTTGAAAACAGCACCATTGGGATTCTCACATTGGACTCTACAACCAGTGTAAATAGGACACAATCTGTAATATTACTGAGAGTTTTTTCCTCCTCTAAATCATTTAGGATGGGGGACAGTTTTTAACTTCCACTTAGGTCTATCTCTATAAACTTCAGCAATATACTGGTTCTTTCTGCATATCTATCCCACTTGTTACAATGATCATGATTTTACTGATCCTAAGTGCTAGTACTGAAACTCTTTCTCTCTGTTATAGCATCACCAAGAAACTGAGTTTAATATGACTACACCCAAAAGAACAACTCTGATTCTTACTGTCAGCAGCTGGTACTATATTCTGTGCAATAAAATTAATGGGCAATTGGCAGAATTCTTTGGAGAGAGAAAAAATTATATTAGTGAAAAATTGACAGATTTAGATTACAGATGCAAATATTTTAAAGGGAAAAGGACCCTGGTTGCCATACTATTATTGCATTTTGTGCCTTCCGTTCCCTGTATCTTTGTACTTTAAAGTTTTTTTTCTGTAATATGGCAAGTATAGTAAAAACTATACAATATTTAACAGTCAAATGAAGTTAAAAAGAAATGGAGGAGTTTGAAGTGACCAGATCCATTATCAGTAAACTTTTTAAAGGAAAAAAAATCTTCTTTAGATGATCTCTGGAGTCCTTTTTTTATTGAGTTGAAGCTACAATATAATATTGTATTAATATTATATTAATGAAAATATTAAGATAGGGATTAAAAATTGCATTTTGGATCATTTTTTCTTTTGGCCCAATCAGGTGACAGTACCTATGAATCATGGCTGACCTTGAAAACTAAGCAGGGTAGGATGCTGGAGGATCCACCAGGATAATATCTTAAAACTATAGATTAGACTGGAAATTTGAAAAACAAAAAAACCTAAGAAAAAGTGGCAAACCATTTTCATATATGACCATGATGTTGCCAGGAATCAGGTATAATTTGAGAAAGAATTCATCATTTTACTCCTTTCTTTCAGGCAGAGTCTGAAAAGAAAATTGAAAGCAATTTCCCTAGGCCCACAGATGGAAGGGATCCTGTCCAAAGTATGGTAAAGTATTGGAATAAGAAGGATCACTGTCATTCAAAGTAATAAAAACAATTAAAGCAAAACCCCAAGGCTTATTTCAATATTTTGGTTCCCTCTTTACATTCCAGCTTATTTGGCCTATGGATGGGGAAAAAACAAAGAATGACTGACATGGATTAAGGTAGCAAACATTCTTTTAGTCTCTCAACATCTTAAAAGATAAACAGCTACAGTGAATCTTTCAGCTGGAATCTCCTCTTACCCTTTATTTAATACTGATTAAGTGACTTTATTTTGATTGATTGATGGGTGGATCCCAAGTTGTTCAAGACATCATATATAATTTTGTCTTTTCCTATGGATTATTGTCACAACAAGCCTGTAAAGCATCATAGATAGTGACTTGCATAGGGATGTCTATAGATTTTGAGGCAAAGATATATCATTTGTGCATGCTAGAGTCATTTGTCCAACCTTCTTCTGACTGAGTATCTTAGTACTGGAAATTAGGCATAATTGTTACTCCCTCTTTCCAATAAACAGTTTCCCCTTATGTTCAATTGGTCAGAATGTTTGTGGCTTGAGAGACAGGCATATGAAGGGAGAGACCCAGTTTAATCTGATAAAGTATGTCACATCTCTTTGATGTTGTTGTTCTTTTGTTCTAGATTCCCTTTCGGTATCAGATTGAAATTATCTTTATTCAATTATAATTAAATTATGTTTATTCGAATGTGATTTTCAAGAGGAAACGTCTCACAAACACTCCTGGGAAAATGTAGTGATATTTGTGGTAGTGAATACATTTTGTATTTTATGTTTAGCATTTTGGTGAATCTGGAGTTTGATTCAGCAGTGAAATCTGGCCGGATCTATCCAGCTCACGCAACTGGTAGCGCCGGCAGTGAGAGGCTCCGCCCATCCACCAGGACATCATAATGTACTGTTTTTTACCGTCTGCACATGCGCAGAAGAAGTGCGTGCTCACACTCCCGAACCGGTAGCGAAGGTAAGTGCATTTTACCACTGGTTTGATTCGTATAGATGTTGAGATACAGTTCTGTTTTATGAGCATTTGGATGGGCTGGTGCATGAGAACGATTCTATTATCTAAGTCATAGTTTCATAGTGAATGTAGAGATCTAACTGCCTTTCAGTCCCTAGGTATCAATAGTAATCTTGTTTTAAAGTTAATTTTCTGAGAATGCTACAGGACTACATGTAGCATGAAACTACTTGTTTAGAATATACAGCAGAACATAAGAAAGTATAATAATATATAGATCTAAGAGATGGGTGATGGAGGTAAAACTAATATTAGCCTATGCCCTGTTCAGGTATACTACTGCGGGATGCATAGGAGAAAAAGATAATTCAGTCCACCCATTTTATGAGATTAGTTAAAAAGGGGGGGGGCATTCTATTGCTTCAGAGAAGAAGGCAGCCCTAACCCTATAACAAAACCTTTGGGAGGCATGTTGGCGGAGCCAACTGTTATCTGACACTTTCAGATACCTACAGCCAGGTTTCCACAGCTACACTGAGGAGGAGTCCGCTAACAGATTTTATCCTGATGCAAGAGAAGTCTAAAATAATCTGAGTTCCACAGGTCACCTTTCCAGAGACATTAGCTCTGTAAGTTTGCTTGTTTGCTTTTAAGTACAGAAGGAAATAGCCATGGTGAAGATAAATTAAAAGTTTATAAAATAGCATTTTTGAAGCATTTATCTAGAAGGAATGACAATGCTGCCTTTGAAATAAAGTATTAGTCAATGCTCAGTTTAAATTTGCTCTTCTCTTTCCTGTTCTTTTATTCTCTTACTTGAACAGATGAAGTCAGACTGGGTGTTTCTTGTGTTCCTTTAAATACCAAGAAGACAACAAAAGATATTTAAAACAGCTCACACTGATGTGGTTGATAGTTGTGGGAGGGAAATGCACCAAAATGTGCCCTTTTCTAGAATGTATCAGTCCTTACACCTTCTTGGAAAATACAAAGGGCAAAATAATAATGGGGGAAAGCCATAAAAGAGAAAGAGAAAAATTTTAGATAATAGAATACCCTTTTTCTGTCACTCTGTGTCATTTGAACATGCTTTCCCAAAGTTTGAAAGCATGTGTAAAAGACCGAGAAATGTGCATCTGAGGTATCTAGTTTGTGGAGGGTTTTTTTTGGGAACAACAAAGCAACATTCTTCCCTCCCCCTCCCTTCTTGTTCTAAAAGAGAGAGAGAGAGAGAGAGAGAGAGAGAGAGGGAGAGAGAGGGAGAGAAAGTTTTGAGAATTTTACTTTTCTATTCACTGTAGTCCTGGCCAAAGTAAAGCCCTCTTTTACATTGACGTCAAGATCTTTACTAAGATTAGGGTTTCATTTCTCTATTGCAGCAATTAGCCAGGGAATGTATAAAAGGCTTGAGGGAACCAAGCGAGGACTCCAGAGGAAAAGCACTTTGTACCACAGGCAGATAGCGAGAGGCAGAGAGACGGAAGAGTGGCAGGGAGAGAGAGGCTGAGCAGAGCCAGCCCAGCCAGCGAGGGAAGAGCAGAAAGTTTGTGTGCAAAGACTTTCCTCTAGAGCCCTCCCTTGACAGGAAAAAAAAGTATTATTTCACCTGATAGCTCCGGTAATAAAAGAATGAGAAAACTACTGAAATAGGAGAAAATTAGAGGAAAGTTAGCCTGTTCCGTTTCAATTTTAGAATTACAGGCAATTGGCAGCCCAGCTCTCTCTCTCTCTCTCTCTCTCTCTCTCTCTCTCTCTCTCTCTCTCTCTCTCTCTCTCTCTCTCTCTCTCTCTCTCTCTCTCTCTGTTTAGAGGACTGCAAAGGGCTTCTGGCTAAGTAAAAACAACAGTAGTTTGAGTTAGAGTTTTTGAAAAATTAAAAGCAGCTCAGGGTGGAAAAACGTTCATGTTGGCGTGGTGCTTCCCTTTTTCTTTCTTTTTTCTTTTTCTTTTTCTTTTAAGCGGCTCTACTGAAGTGAGAACTGAGCCAACTTTGAAAGAGAGCTAACGGAGCACTATGAATTTTTAAAAAGCCCCTTATGTTTTATTATGTTTTATTATTGTTTTTCATGAGGGCACACAGGGTATGAAAAGGGAACTCAGAGGAACTCCTTGAAGAGGAAGAGCAAGCAACATGGGTTTGTTAAGCATTGACCTGTTGATCACACTTCAGATCCTGCCGATTTTTTTCTCCAACTGCCTTTTCCTCGCCCTCTATGACTCGGTGGTCCTCTTGAAGCACATGGTGCTTCTTCTCAGCTGCTCCAAGGCTGCACGTGGTGAATGGCGAAGGATGCTCACATCAGAGGGCTTGCGCTGCGTCTGGAATAGCTTTCTCCTAGATGCCTACAAGCAGGTAAGTTTGGGGACAGGCATGGGCTGAAGACCAAACTTCTGAAGAGAGTCCTTGGGCTCCACTGCAGAGAGAAAGAGGTATTAAAACAGCATGTGTGTGAAGTTGATATAATGTTTACTAAATCAACACAAGAATTGTAAATATTACTATCCTAGGCATTTAGTGCAGAATGTATTAAGTTGCCATCTAATTTTGGTACCATCTCATTTGTTTCAGTGTTGTTTTATTGAGATATACATTCATATTCTAATTTAGTTGCTTGGGTTTAGTTATTCTGTTTTAAAAACCTTTTCTGTGGAGATCACTTCCTGAGTAATTAATAGCATTATATTAAGGTCTCGGAGATTGCATTATTACTTTTATTGGTGATTTTCTTTGTGCCCTCCAAACACTTCTTTTCTAGTGCATATTAAAACACACACACACATACACATAGAATGTGTGACAAATTCTGCTGTCTTTCTTTTGTGAATATAATGGTAAAGTTAGGTGAGTCCAAAGATACGTAGAACTTCAGATTTAACAGACAAATTTCTCATACTGCCAGCTATTAAAATTAACCAATCCTGAGAATGTATGTATTGTCACTGTTTAAAATGGTAGGCAGAATTGATAGGAAATCAAACTTCTTTACCTCACTTGTTTCCATCTGCAAAATGGAAGTAGCCATACACTGTTTTTCTGGCCCAATTTCCATTTTGCATATGGAAACAGTGAAGTGGAGAAGGTAATTGTCAGTTATTGAACTAATACATATATCCCTTGCAAGAAAGTGCAGGTTGTCCTTGTATTTTGCAAGAGGAGCATAAACAAATTCAGAAGAGTATGTACAAAGGTTTTCAATACTTGTGGTTAATTAACTGATTGGCTGATTTCCCCCCCAAAAAATCATCATTGGGGGGAACTTGTCCTATTGACATCATTTTATGGCTTGATATTTCCCCAACTGCTGACAAAGCAGAAAACTTAAATTCCTAGAAATTGATTTTCTGAAAAAGAAAAAAAAACCCTGAAAGAATAATAGCCATCTTTCAGCTAGAGTGAGCATTCCATACAGAATTTGAATACAAAATTCAAATAAGCCTTTGTTATGTTATTTGAGATAGATAAATCCAACCTTTTCATTACCTTTGATAGGAAGACACTTGATTTTGGTTGGTATCAAAGGTGATTTTTATTTTTGCCAAAAAAGTTATTCAACAGATTTTTCCATTTTAGCCTTTTCTGTGGTATATGTATACTTCTGAGGGATCTCTTGCACCATGGAGAGCTCCCATGGTAGTATCATCAAGAGTAAATTGGAGTCTTAGGTACCCAGGGATAACTCTCTGCATATGTTTCCCCTTTATAGATAAAATTATTCTTTAATAAAATAACTCTCACAATGTTCAATAAATGTTTTAAGATAAACAAAACATTTTTACATTTCTGTGAAAACATTTTTCTGCTTCTGTGTAATCCTGTGGTAGGAAATATTTTGTCAGAATTATTGACAAAAGAGTTATTGGTATCTTGAAGTTTGGGAATATACATCTTGAAACTCTTTCACTGCAGAATTTATACAGAAGTGTAGACATTCTACAAGGCAATAGCGTAGAGGCAGACCTATATACTACTATATACCGTAGTGAATGTTGTGCTCAAATTTCAGTCACTTGCTTTGTTTAACTTTCTTTCCAAGAAAAAAAAAAGGCTCAAGATATTAATATTAGGTGGATTCACTGGGCTGATATTGTTCCCCAACAGAGAGAATGTATTGGTGTTAAAAAAGAATCAGAGAATCAGATTTTATGAAGATTTAAAATTGCAAACGTATGAATTCATTCGGGGACATTTTAATACCTTGACCTATATTAAAATTTCGCCTGGAGTAGTAACCCCCCCCCCCCAACCACGGTATTTGTCTTGTTTGAAGAAGTACATACCACAACACTTTTTGAAGTAGTATAAATCCTGACTGTTTTGAACTGTGCACTTGAGTGAAGTACTCCTATGGGTATCTGGTGCTCATCATTCTGCTGAGGAGAATTATGCAATACATCATAGTGACTTTAATACAATAACCTGTAAAATATATTTTGTAATCCTGAATCCCTTCCTCCAATGTAGTTTACAAGAAATGCAGCCTAGGTTTCTTGAATGCTAACAGTTCCAGTAGTCAGGCAAGCAAACAAATATTTCCCTTAGGCAAATAATAGCATCTTCATGTTATAACATCTTTATGTTATTAAAATTCTTCTCTCCAGTTCTTCCTGCTCCTACTCGGTAATATATTAATAAACACCTGTTGGTCAATGCATTCTTTGAAGCATTTTTTTGCATCTGAAATTTTCAAGCGTTCTACCAAGAAACAATTATACAAACAATATTTTGATTAATACCCAACTTTAATACATAGGTGAACATATGAAAAGTATTTTCTTGGAAATTCCCATATTCTAAATCAACCTATGCCCCCCCATTCAATTTCTTCTGTTTTATCCATTTCTGCAGCAGACACAAAGACTATCATTCATAGAAGTACTGGAGATAAGATTTCTTTGAAGGTCATACTATTCTGCAAGATGCTTATGGGAGAACAAAACAAAGGTCTATACTAGACAAGATGAGCAAATAATTTAATTAAAAACTCCCAGTGATGTTTGTATGAAAAGGATATACATATTACAAAGGGATGGCTGTATTTTCCTTATACCCTAGAGCAGTGTTTCCCAAACTTGGGAACTTTAAGAAGTGTGGACTTCAACTCCCAGAATTCCCCATCCAGCATGGCTGGCTGTGGGATTTTGGGAGTTGAAGTCCATACATCTTGAAGTTCCCAAGTTTAGGAAACACTGCCCTAGAGCAAAAAGGAGAAAAAAGGATGATGTACTCTGCTTGAGTCTCATTTTCATAAAGTGTTTCCATTTTCTACTCAACCGCACCACTAATGTGTTTGAGCAAAACCCAGCTAACCTATTCCACAGTCACCATAGTCAGGCTATTCAGTTGCCTGTCAGGAAAAAAAATGCTTTGTTTTCACCACTAATGGCAGCAGAAAACCAAGAATCTGTTTTCAGATTGTCAATAGATCGTGCCAATTAGCTGGCCAGTGTAAGAAGCCAATGGACTTTCCTCTGGTTCTGCAGAATGTTTGCATTTGATAGTTTCATGCAGCCATACAGTAGATGTAGGTTGCTTGTCCTGGTCCAGTATAAAAAATATGCAACAATCTATGTCAAAATACTATAAATTGGATAGTTGATGAACCAAATGGAATAATCTTCCTTATTAAAGGGCCAGGTACCCAGTCTTGAAATACACTTGGATCTGATATTGAAATGATGATAACAATTTTCTATTAGGTTAAAGAAACTTGCCAATTTGCTATCCTATTTAGAGAAAGATGATTTAACTATAGTGACATATGTATTTTCAATGTCATAATGAACATAATGGTACATAATGAACTGTTCTTAAAATTAGTTTACAAGCTACAATTGGCAGGAAGAATGTTTGTGGGTACTAGTTACACAGATTTTATTATATCTATTCAACAGTGGTTATATTAGAGACCTGTTTGCCTCCAGGCCTAGTGCAAAATGTTGATTTTATTTAAAAAATATTTCAGACCATGTAAATTGAAAGATGGTCTGTGTTTATTTCAATCCCTAGCAGCATTAAAATCAGCATCAATTATTATACTCTGATCCATCATAAAATCCCTTGGTAGTAGACATCCAAGACAAAGTTTTTCTTTGGTGGCCCTTTGCCTTAGGAAGTCTTTTCCTATCACTGTAATCTTTAAATACGTTTTCTGTTCCACATTTTAGACTTAATATCAAAATGCTTATCTACTGCTATATTTTATTCATTTGATTATATCATCTTGTTAATTCCCTTGCGAGAGCAGGGTGCCAAGAAAGAAAGGCTAAAAGCTTTAAAATAAATCAATACTTTATGCATCTCATTTTGCACTGGAGCATCTTAGAATGTGTATGAATATGATTTGGAATAGCATAGCAAAATAACTAAAAGCAACTGAGCTGATGTTCAGACTATATTGAGAGATGGGTAATTAACATTGCACTAACACCTGTTCTGAGTTGAGCACTTGTTTCTTCCCTTCTCTTCAGCAGGTTATCTCTGCCCAGAGCAGAAAGAAGGAACTTAGTTGTGTTATTAGAAAGCTGGCCTAGTGGGCAAACTCTGTTAGAAGCCATGCTGAAATTAAAATTCAAAGTAAAATAAGTTTACTTACTGGCCAATACAATATGGAATAATTTGTTGTTAAAACTGCTACTTACAGATTATGTTTCATTAGATAGAGTTATTGATGATTCCCTTCTATTTGCTCAATTTTTTTTCCTTTGGGTATCTAGCTTTAGTAAGTGCTTTCTACACTGAACTTTGTTGAACTTTGCTTTCGATTTTGAACACCTGCCAGGTTCAATGGTGTTCTGTTTTCCACTGTTCCCACCTTATTATTTGAAAAGCAGCCCCAGGAGGCAAGCGCACCCTATGTTGCATAGAGTGGTTCTTTATAATAGGGCTAATTATCATAATGAGGGTTAATAGAGTTTATAGGGTTTACAGTATAACACTGGATTACTTCACATTTTAGAATAAGAGGTCAAAGAAAGGGCTTGTTTCTGAGAGCACTACATATACTTGCTCCAAAAGGTACTATTAGAATGGAAAAGGCAGTTGTATTTTATTAAATACTAGCTGTACCAGCCACGCGTTGCTGTGGCCCAGTCTGGTGCTTCAGCTGGGCTAAAAGAGCGAGGCTGAAGTTCCAAAGTCTCCATGAACATTTGGTGGGCGTGGCCAACTCGACGTCACTCACTTTCATAAATCACATGACAGCCCCCGAGCCATGCCTACCCAGCTGGTGATTAGGGCAGAGAACCAGTTGTTAAAAAACAATGGGAACCACAAAATCCTCCCTCTCTGTCTCCCCCTCTCTCTTTGTATCTCTCTATGTCTCTCTCTCTCTCCCCCCTCTGTATCTCTCTATG